TATGGAAGCAGAACAAATCAAATTTGCAACACTGTGTATACACGTGTGTGTGTGTGTGTGAAAACTAACCTATACTGTCTCATGCCAGCCTGTCACACTTGCTTCAACTGCGCCGACTCAAGACTCAGAACCCTGCAGATAAGAGGGTGTGTAAGCAAAACAAAGAACATTTGAATAAATCAAAGCTACGGGTTTCAAGCCTAGGAAATCTTGTTTTCTAATGTGTGCATTAGATGGAACACAAAAGCTCTCTATAACAGAAAGAATCAGGACCAAATCTTACTGGTCATGCATCCCTCGCTGTTCCAGTCTCACACCAGCAATGGCTTCCCTCCCTTCATCTCCCTCCTCAGAACTATTTTTCAGGGTCTGATGTATCCACCTGAACTTGGAAACATTTCTAGAACAACTATTACATTTGAACAATGTAACATGTAAACTAAAAAGTTCACGCATGATAAAAAAAAAAAATATTTCCCACCTTGCTCATGCCAGTCATTGAAACAGTCCCGTTTTGGTAAAAAACACAGTGGCACCTCACAGGTTGCACACACGACTGGTGTCTTCTGATGGCAAAGCTTGCACTTTCGCCGTCCAGCAGTGCTGTCATCTGTGACGTGCTTCGGATTGTGGCAATCCACTTTTGAAGCCTGAGGAGCAGCTGTGCCCGATTCCAACCCTGCAAGTTCCAGAACAAGTGTTTCCCTGAATGCTTTCTGGGTCAGGGGTCTTTCTTTTTTTGCTCTGGCCAGATGCTGATGCAAAATGAAGGCATTGACAACAGCAATATCTAATATAAGTGGTAAAAGAAGGTCTTATACCACTTCCGTGTCTTGTGGAGCACTTTGTAGTATCCAGTGAGGGCATCAGACCATGAACCTGTTGTAGTCCAGCACAGCACCTGGAATAGGCACGTGCACTTGAGACCACTGCCCATCATTGTTCTTCACCCTCCTTTGCACTGTGCGTCCTCTCATCTATGGAGATGTTCTGATTTGGATGAAAAAATGTTCTGCAGGCATCCCTCGTGTTGTCATAGAGAGGATTGATCTTCCCCAAGCGGTCATAGGCTGCTGTTCCCCTCTTTTCATTTTCTTCATCATACTGAGGATCGCTAAGATGAAGAGCATTTGTGATGTTCAGAAACTTCCCACAGGACATGATCTTAGCAGGAAGGGGAACACTATAGATTTGAAACCTCTTCCAATAATCAGTCACAGCAGAGACCTTCACAAGACCCATGTACACAACAAGTCTTCATGACTTCTACAGAGATGTTATGCCATGGCTTGTCTCTTCCCTGCTGATTTTTGGATCCATAGGCATTTGTGTGCTGAATGATGGTTTGCAGCACAGATGAAGAAAAGAAAAGCTGAAACAACTGCAGTGCTGTGTATGATGCAGTTGTCACCAACTGTGGCCCAAGTTCATGAGCAGGCCTAAACACAGGCTTGGGAGGCCCAATGTCATCCTCATCCACATTATGCCATCTTTTCTGTGAGGTGCTAGGGGACACAGCAGCGACTGACTGGCTCCTTCTCCCTCTCCCTTTACCGCTACCTCTAGTAGCTGCAGCAGATTCAGATGGAGACTCAGATGCAGATGATGATGATGATGATGATGATGAATATGACTGCCGTGGTCTCTTCTGTCTCTCAGGACTGGACTCTGGATTCCAGTCCTCATCTGTGTCAGTTGAAGGCCTATTTTACAGCACAGAGAAACATGTGGATTTTAGTCAAATATAGGAGACATAAAACTATTAGCAGCATCAATATTTCTTCACATTACAATTATAAATGCTTGTTTGCCAAATACTTTTTGCTTATAATTCACAGGATTATAAATGCTTTATAATACTAATACTTCCCCACACATATTTTCACCTTGTAATCCTTTCCTTACATTATTTTTATATTCAATGAATCGGATTCACACACACACACACATACATACATGTGATTGAGACATATTCTGGTTAAATGCTAACTGCATTTTGTTGCCTTGTACCTTACATGTGCAATGACAATAAAGTTGAATATATATATATATATATATATCTATCATAAGATTATAAATGTGATGTCCTTATGAATGTATATTATACAACCCTATCACATACTCATGTTGCACCCTAAATTTTGTACCTCACCGCTGTCACAGCAAATACATGATAAACACATACAAACATTCAATACAATGATGTTGAAACTTACCGATCTAAAACGGGATCGAGTCCATGAATAAACATCTCTTGAGCTGAATCTACGCTTGACACTGTGCTATCCCTGTCTAAGTCTTTCTGCTGCTCTTCGTCGCTGCTTCTCATCACCTCCTCCAAAACACTCTCAACACCACAAAAACTCTTCTGAGTTCGACGTTCCATGATTCAGATGTAGCTTCGAAGAAAATCTGCTCGCCGATAAATACTCTGTGAAGCACAGCGATAGCGTTCTGTGTATGCAGCGTGCGTACAGACGAGAGCGCAGTCAGCACACGAACACACACTAATTTGCGCACGGGTATTCTGTAAAAATGCTTAAGCAAACTGTCTTTCATCGTAAACGTTCTTGTGGTTGGCTAACATTTCCATCCATCAAAACCTTATTGGCTGTGCGGTGATTAGCGCCTCGCTGAGCCTGTCAGTGACTCCCTTTATGATCTGAGCTATAACATCGCCTGTGATTGAAGGCAAGAGACGGGGGACGGCTAATTTTGCTCTGAAGAGACTATTCTATGGGAAATACATGGCGTTTCAACGCTGGAATACGAATTAGAATCGATATTTCTTTGAAAATGGACGCTATCGACAACTATAATTCAAATCGCTCATGTAAACTAAGGAGGATCTTTCGTTTTCCCCCCTAATTTTTTCGTTATTTTGGATTAAAAAGTGGGATGCATTTTGAAGAGTGGACCCTTATCTTGAAATGTGTGCTGGTGTTTCTTGGAATAGTCCGAGCTGACCAGAACTATTGGGGATGAAACGTAAGCACTGCCGTTCACTTTGTACATGTTTAAATGGCCGGTGTAGCAGTCGATTCGGTTCCCCTCGGAATGTCTGTTCCCCTTTACGCAATCATACTACATGTTGCGGAGTTGCCGGGTTACCATACGCATTATCAGAACTAACGTACTCCTGAAGCACAACTGGATGTACGGGAAGTGCAAAATGGTTCAAAAAGTACCGTCTTTTCTCTGAAACTTGAAAATGGATTTGAGAAGCGAGGTATTCCCCAACTTACAACCGATTTAAGCGTGTTTGAGGCTTTGGTTATTACGCAGAAGTCTGTAGCGCAGGCTTATTTGAAACACAATGTCTGTCACGGGTGTTGTTAAATGTTACTTCGTTTTAATTAAAAATAAATTTAAATAACAAAGACAAATTGCAGCAGGTGTAACCATTTACAAAAAAGAAAACAAAAAGTCTACAAAAATAATGGCTTTAAAATGCAATTTTATTTATTGTGAGAAAAGCATTTAAATTCTTTGTCTGTGGGTGGATTATTAACACAGTTGATATGGAACCAGCACCCACAGTCATCACAGGAAATCTGTAAAAATATAAATAAAATGTTAGCAACATTGTCAGCAATTGTGCTAATGTATTTATTAATATTCCACACCATTTTCATAATAAAATGCAATCTCAAGCCTAAATCGTGCTATGTCTTGTGGTTCATTGGAGAAGTCAATATTGGTATTGTGCAGAATATGTTCTGCAAACTGGAAAAAGAAAAGAAAAAAATAAATACAATAAAATCCTCCCATTTCAATGAACATTTCATATGTGCTGTCGCACACCTTCAAAGCAAACGCACCACATGACGTAGTATCCGTCTGAAGTGGGTGAGTTGGATTTTGACACACCCAGTGTGAAACTGGAACTCCCTTTTTGCTCATCATTGCTCTACAAACAGATTTTCCCTCCTTCTTTCTATCATACACAACTTCCCAAAAGCACTACATCAGACTGTGGTGAATACCTTGTTGTTTGCAAACACCTTTTCTTCTTGATGTCAGACTCTCCAAGTGGGTCAAGCAGAATGTTTTTTTTTTTAGATGGGTATATAGCCTAGGTAATATCCCAGACATCACAATAAGGGAATATTAGTGGAAAATCAACATTTTAAGGGATAAGGGAAAGCTCAAAGAAAACTATTCTCAATCATAAACTCTTACAACTAAAAACCAATGGTGACGCTCATTTACAATGCCCACTATGACCTCATAGTTTGCTGGGACCACCTGGAAATAAAAAGAAACCAAAAATGTATTATCTACACATTGCTAAACAAAGCATCCAAGGCCTTTTGTACCGAAAACACAAATTACTTTTACACATGGCCCAAACTAAATGAATAAAAGTTAATAAAAGTATTAATACAACAGACCTTGAGTCCCCGATATTTTCCATTCCACATGGCTGTTATAGCAAATGTGTCCATATGGAAGGCTTTCTCTGGTGAGGTCAAGTTGTGCTGGCTCACCTTCAGTGTCAGATACGCATTTATTACCTTGGAAAACATTGGAAAATGAAACATTAATTCAAATTTATAAACTACATGAAAGCCTTATCTATCAGACAAAAAACAAACAAACACATCAATAAAATATATACCTCACTCTCCAACTCCTTCCCAGGGCCAATCTGTAAAATATCTTGATAAAACAGTTTATAGGGTCCCACTTTGGACACCAGTACATGGCTGTTATTTCCAGCCCAGGCACTTTTGATACCTACTATGAAAAGGGGGAAAAACACACTAGACAAATATTACAATTCTGACCAACATTGATTGATTTCATGTGATTTTTCATCAGCACTTACATCTATGTACTGCATCCTTGGCATCAGCTGGTGTAACTGTTGCAACTGTAGTGTGGGACACAGGAGAGGAAAGTGGCATTGATAAATCCAATGGAGACAGGGAAGAGGATGATTTGGGGGAGACACTGGGAGAAAGCTTTGGTGCAGTTGGTGAGGATGGAGGTGATGGTGGGGGCTGCTTTTCTTTAGAGATGGTGAGGTCTAGAGGTGGAGGTGAAGGGTGTTGTCCAGTGTCTTAATTTGGTCGTTTAAGTTGGGGTTCATCAAGAATAAATCTGTGGGGTACCCGGGCTGTCTCTTCTTTGAAGGATTTTATGTGGTCTGTACTGATTTTGGGGTATTTGTAACCCTTCTCATCCCTCAGATCTGCACTCTTGTCTTTTATGTGTACAATTTCATATGGTCCCAACCAGTTGCGCTCAAGCTTGCCCCCTTTCCTTTGTTGGGTCCTTATGTTTTTCCGTAGGACCTTTTGGCCTATAGAGAATGGTGCCCGATTTGCGATTTTTGGATCCATAGGCATTTGTGTGCTGAATGATGGTTTGCAGCACAGATGAAGAAAAGAAAAGCTGAAACAACTGCAGTGCTGTGTATGATGCAGTTGTCACCAACTGTGGCCCAAGTTCACGAGCAGGCCTAAACACAGGCTTGGGAGGCCCAATGTCATCCTCATCCACATTATGCTATCTTTTCTGTGAGGTGCTAGGGGACACAGCAGGGACTGACTGGCTCCCTCTACCTCTAGTAGCTGCAGCAGATTCAGATGGAGACTCGGATGCAGATGATGAAGATGACTGCCGTGGTCTCTTCCGTCGCTCCGGACTGGACTCCGGATTGCAGTCCTCATCCGTGTCAGTCGAAGGCCTATTTTACAGCACAGAGAAACATGTGGATTTTAGTCAAATATAGGAGACATAAAACTATTAGCAGCATCAATATTTCTTCACATTACAATTATAAATGCTTGTTTGCCAAATACTTTTTGCTTATAATTCACAGGATTATAAATGCTTTATAATACTAATACTTCCCCACACATATTTTCACCTTGTAATCCTTTCCTTACATTATTTTTCATTTTCAATGAATCGGATTCTCACAAGCAGCTTTACAGAAAATTAAGTTTCTACAATATTTAGTGGTAGTTTATCAGTGGTGACTGTCAGTTAATGTACATATGGCAGAAATGTACGGAAAAATCAATTAAAGACGTAATCAAGACGATGAACACTATTAATGTTATGAGGCAACAGAGACAGGAGACGTGCGGATCCATCTGCATGCTTTTATTTAAGAGACATGGTCATAACAGGCATGGATCAAACAATGGCAAACAGGTACAACACAAAGAGTAATCCTAGGACAAACGTGGGTCATCGATTGGCGAACGTAATCCAGAGGGCTTGACAAAAGGGGTAATCTGTAAACACGAGCAGTAGTCAAAGGACCGGAAAACAGGCAAGGCAAAACTAGACTAAGACTAGGACTTGGAAATAAACAATGGCTAACGAAATTGCTCCATAGCATATCTATCACTGACTAGCGATATGCGCATACAATACTCGGCGTTGAATGGTGGTGTGAGACTGATTTATATAGTGTGTGTTATTGGTAGCAGCTGTGTGTGATTGGTTTCAGGTGAGCTTGTGATTAGTGCAATGGAGCATGGGAAATGTAGTCCAGGATGATATGGAACAGTCTGTGTAGTGTGAGAGTCCATGTGGAGAGCAGGTGACCGCTGGTGGTGAGTGAATGGAAGTTTATAGACCGGATTCGTGACAATTAACAGCAAATATTATATGATGCAATCAAACTTATAGCAAAAT